AAGGTGTGCAAGATATAAGTCACAAAAGCAGACAGGATGGAGCTGATCAGAGCACAAGAGGGCAAGAAATGAAGACTGCCAGAGCCACCCTCTTCTTTAGAGTATAATTCTCATATGGGTTGTTATCACATACTTCCATTCTTTGGTAGTGCTGTTAAAGCGCATTCATGATTGCCTGCACTAAGTCATGATTACTTGACTGCATTCCACTGTCTACATGCACCAGACATGACGTGACACATCCTCAAGCATCCTTAGATGCCCCCTTAGGTTTGAAATGCTCTGAGTGGTTACACTAACAAGTTTAATACTGTTAAGAACCCAGGGTATTAATGCTCAACTCATCTAAAAAAAAAAGAAAAAAACAAAGAAACCACCCAAATATTCTGCCATTATGTTCCGAGGCCAAAGTGTGAAGGATGATGTCTACTGTCTAGACAAAAAAGTATGAAATTGAAGAAAAAAATTGATAAACAGAATAGAGAATATGTCAGCATGTTAGGGGACCTAAGAGAGATTTTCATGACAGTGGTCATACACAAATTACAATGGATTACGTCTTTTCAAATTTTATGTCTTTCATTATACTACACTTACATAATATCAAGTCTGATTAGACTTTTTAAAATTTTTTGTCAGATACAATTCTAATAGCACACATTCATATATTTATTTCATTTCTTTTCTTTTTTTTTTTTTTGCTGAAGCAGAAATTGAACTCAGACCTTTGTGCTTGCCAGGGAAGCACTTATTCTACTGAGTCATCTCCCCAGTCCCTCATATATTTATTTCTATACATATTTGTATGCATCGCTAACTACATGAAAATAAATTATATAACATTTAAATATATTACAGAATAATATCTCCAATTAAAGATCATTTTGGTCACATTCTGAAATAAATATAGATAACTGGTGTTCATTTAGTGACTTTTTTCATTATAATTTTTTCATCTTTCAATAATGTTTTATTAATAACATAGTGGTAAATGTCCAAAATAACATTTTATAATTTGTTATATACTTAGCTATACCATTGCAGTATACACTATGCTTATATACTTTGAGCTGGCTTGGCTGCCTGTCCTTGAAAGTATGACACTTCAGTATTTTTTCCCCCATCATCCTTTTTTAAGCATACACATGCGTTTTACACTGTAAGAAAACAAGATTTATGTGGCATTCTCTTCTTTGTCATTATGCCCCCAATTACATATATATTTCATCATGTTTTCTTTTTCATCTGAAACCATTTTTGAAACATAAGTGTCCCTAGTCAAGTTTGTGTCCATTAGGCTTAATTTTGTCCAACAGAATAGATAGCTTTGCTTTTTTTGTTGTTATGGTTCAAAATTACCTCCTATCAATGTTTCTGTGTATGTCTTTCCCTTTCAAAGCTACTGAGCCCTTTAATAGCCCCATAAGAATGACACGTGAGAGTAATTTGCTCCTTTTTGTTCTCTCCCATGTGAGGAGAGAGCAGGCAATTCCCACCAAAGGCCAACACCTCCCTCTCAAGTTTACCAACCTCTAAAAGTTTGGCAACTAATTTTCTGTTCTTTATAAATTCCTCAGTGAGGATAGTCTATAATACTAACACAGAACAGACTAAGACAATAAGATATTGACCTTCCCTACCAGTGAAGATCAGATAACAGTTGCCACAATGAAGTATGAACTTCATTCAGCCTGTGTCAAGCAATGCAGATGGATCAGTGGTGTACCTTTCTCTTTTTCCTCAAAGTGTCCAAGAATAGACAGGCACACATTGAAAGCACTGTGATCTCCCTTCTCTCACTGCCAGGCATAATCACTTTTGACAATGGATCAAACTGGAGTTGTCTTTCTCTTGCTTTGTTCTGAGATTTTTGTGGGATGGGACAGATCACTAATTGTTTAGTCATGCCTCTGAAGTTAGGAACAATGTACGTTTTGAGGCATTCTTTTACTTCTTCTACTAAAACTTGCACAAAATCAGTTTGGAGAGCCTGATTTTAATTTTTTGAAAGTAATAATAGGGATTGTAATAACTACTGTGAGGACAATATGTAATGTATTAATTATTGTAACTGTCCTACTAACCAGTATTGAAACTGTCTCATTGCTATTTGTTTCTCAATGAAAATAATAATAAAGATATTATGTACAAGTAACAGCTCTCCATGATGAATATAATTGTTATGTCCTGCAAGCATGTAGTAATAAAAAT